GCGACGGCAGACAAATTCTATATATAAAAATTCGACGGAATATATATAAAATGTTGACATTTTATATATTTTTTATTTTTTATTGAAGGTCACAACTTGAATATTTCTAACACATTGACTTTTATTTTAGCTCAGCGTTTCTCAAAGTGGGCAATAATGCCCCCTTCTGGGCGATGAGTAGATCTAGGAGGCGCTGGAGGCAGGGTATTGAACGGTGACCAAAGGCAAAATTGGGGCTGATAAGAGAAAACATTGCGTTTAATGATTTCCAGATGTTGAGAACAATGTACAGTAAGGGCACAAAGTGTGAGATTCATAGAAAAGTTTTCCTGAGAATATTTCCAATCCTTTTCTCACACAAGAGAAAATGGGTTAGGGGCGTTGGGTATAACTTTACGGACAAAGGGGGCGGTGGATCGAAAAAAGTTTGGGAATCACTGTTGTACACTATTGCCGAGAGCGGAGGCAAATGCTTGACGCTTTTCGCATGAATAGAGAGGCACAGACTGGGCAGCAGTTCTGCTGGCCTTTCTCCAAGGACTACGTTCGCCTACCAGGGTCTCAAAGTTTTTCACCATATGCTGGGAAGAAAGAGGACATTTGCTGACTCACCAGTGCATGAGATCGCCATCACCATACCACCATCTTAGTCAATCTCCCTGTTGCAGAGCAGAGGAAAACTAAGCAGTGCGACCTTTCTTGGGGGTGAGGCTGCTTGCAAAGAAAATCCTCCTTCAACGACTGTTGCCCAGATGACCAGGAATTACATGGACAATTCGTATAGATAACCGCCCCATGCATGCCCTCATCGATTCTGGAGCGTCTTTTTCTATACTCTCCGAGGCATATCATCGGCAACTGTGGAAGACCATGTTCACCAACACCATGGACATTATACTGAAGGTAGCAGATGGAAATTTTGTACATCGAGCCGGAAAATGTGTAGCACAAATCAATATAAATGGGAAGTACCAACCATTTGAGTTTGTAGTTTTGCAGCATTGCGGTCATAATGTTATCCTCGGTTGGGATTTCCTGGAAACCTCTCAAGCCGTGATAGATTGTGGGTGTTCTGTCCTCCTCTTGGAGGACGATCCTCCAACAAATGGGACAGAAGCAGAAACACTAGCCGAACCTTTCCGCTCATGACACTTTAGAGAATTGTTTCATCCCTCCATATTCTTTAATGAGAATAGCTGTGTCATGCCCAGCAGCTCACAGTTCTTTTGAAGCAATAGTGGAGGGTAACAAACTTCTACTTCTAGAGAAAGAGGTTGCCACCCCCTCTTCTATCATCCAACTGACGGAGGGCAAGGGAGCATTGTGGGTCGCCAATGGTACTTGCAAGCCTAAAACCCTTCCAATGGGCATGTTTGTCAGTGTAGCAGAGTGGTTACATGAGAATGGCCTAACCGCCATTGACGAATGTGCTACACCAGAGCCAATAACGATGGACTCCATTAAGAACGTGAAGACAGAAGTTCAGCATGAGTTGAATGTGTCTATCGCCTTGACCCCAGACCAACGAATGCAACTTTGGGACATTCTTCGTCACTTTTCGGTAACCTTCCAGTTTGGCAACAAGAGAGGTACTGCAAAGATCAAGGTTAAACACCGTATTAACGTCGGAGATCACCCACCGACCAGTCAATGGGCATATAGAGTGTCCCCCACTGAACACCAAATTATCCAGGTGGAAGTTCAGAAGATGCTGAGGGATAATGTAATTCAACCATCAGATAGCCCTTGGTCATCGCCGGTTGTCCTTGTGAGGACGAAAGATAGAAGCTGGCGTTTTTGTGTTGACTACCAGCAACTGAACAAGATCACAAAAAAGGATGTTTACCCTTTGCCACGCATTGACGATACCCTAGATTGCTTACGAGGAGCCAATTTTTTTCCTCGATGGACCTTTATTCAGGGTATTGGCAGATTGAGGCTGATGAACATGATCAAGAGAAAAACCACCTTCATTACACCAGAGGGGTTGTTGTATGAATTTAAAGTCATGCCATTTGGTTTATGCAATGCGCCAGTCACGTTTGAAAGAATGATGGATAACTTGTAATGCCATCTGAAGTGGACTATGTGCTTATGCTATCTCGACGATATAGTCGTGTTTTCCGAAACATTTGAAGATCATCTGGTGTGGTTAAAAGCCATTCTAAGCTGCATACAGGATGCAAGCCTCCACCTGAATCTGAAAAAGTGTGTCTTTGGTGCTAACCAGATCAAGATCCTTGGACACCTCATATCAAGAGATGGGATACGACCAGACCCTGAAAAATTATGAGTAGTCACCAATTTCCCTACTCCAGCAAATGTGCATGACGTAAGAAGTTTCCTGGGTCTATTTTCCTATTACTGCCGCTTTATTAAAAATTTCTGCTGTAAAGTGCAACCATTATAGCAATTACTAAAAAGGGAGTCCATGTTCACTTGGGATCAACTAGAGGCTGATTCCTTTGCTACCTTAAAAAGGGCACTTACTTCTGACCCTGTATTAGGATTGTACAATGAGAACGCGCCAACAGAACTCCACACAGATGCCAGTGGTTACAGGATTGGGGTATCCTAGTCCAAACACAAGATGGCAAAGAAAAGGTAATTGCTTATGCATCCCAGACACTTACCAAGGCAGAAAAAAATTATTCGATGACAAAAAAAGAATGTCTCACAGTGATGTGGGCAATCCACAAATTCCGGCCCTATCTCTTCGGTAAACCATTTGTTGTTGTAACAGATCATCACGCGTTATGCTGGTTAGCTGGATTAAAGGATCCCTCGGGAAGGCTTGCCAGATGGGCCTTACGACTTCAAGAATACAATGTTTCCATCTGTTATAAAAGCAGACGAAAACATAAAGACGCAGACTACCTTTCGAGGAATCCCATAGAGGCTGACACTTCTACGGTGGCTGGCTTAGTTGCCACATTCACGAATGTCACTGCCAATCAGAGGAAGGATCCAAAATTGGCAGCAATAATTCATGCTCTCAAGAGATCTGAGCCTATCAAAGCAGAATTTGAACTTATCAATGGTGTACTTTGTAAGAAAAATTACAACACACCTGAAAAGAGATGGTTACCCGTGATCCCCAAGCACTTGCACCTGGATAACCTGCAACATTTCCACGATGCCCCTACGGGTGGTCACTTAGGGTTCGCTAAAACATATGACAGAATCCGAAAGCGCTTCTTTTGGCCGAGGCTATACCATACAGTACAACATTATGTCTCCCATTGTCAAGAATGTCAGAGAAGGAAACAGGTACCCCAGAAACCTCCTGGTTGCCTTATGTCCATCCCACCAGCAGTGGAACCCTTTCATCGAATTGGTGTGGATTTACTTGGTCCGCTCCCAAAATCCCTCAAAGGCAATAAATGGATTGTGGTCTGCACCGACTATTGAACATGATATGCCTTCACCAGGGCGGTGCCAACAGCTGAAGCCCAAGAAATAGCTAGATTATTTGTTGACGAAATCCTGTTGAAGCATGGAGTCCCAAGAGTACTCATCACCGACAGAGGAAAAGTTTTCTAGTCCTAGCTTGTGTTTGAACTTATTCGGTGCTGCTAGGTAACACACAGCATGACGACCACATACCATCCGCAGACAAACGGCATAACCGAATACTTTAACAAGACATTAACCGATATGATGTCTATGTATGTCAGTGTTGAGCAGAAAGACTGGGACTCAGTGTTGCCCTTCGTCACTTTTGCTTATAACACAGCAAAGCAGGACGTTACTGGATTCACTCCATTCTATTTACTCCACGGACGTGAAGCCAAGACAACAATGGACACATTATTCCCATATCAAGCCGATGATCATCCCGATGATTACCTGGTGCACTTAGTCACCACGGCCAAGGAGTTGCAACAATTAGCTCGTGTACGTACATTGATGGCCCAGCAGAAAGATTGAGGACAGTACAACGCTGCTCATCGAACCGTATCGTATAACCATGGTGATCTTGTGTGGATATTTACACCTGTGCGCAAGGTGGGTCTGTCTGAAAAACTCCATAAGCATTACTTTGGCCCGTACAAAGTCCTTCGACACTTGTCTGAGGTTACCTATGAAGTCGAGGATTTCGATCCTATGTCCAAGCGAAGGAAGCCAAAGGATACCGTCCACATCCTCCAGATGAAGCCCTATTGTGATCCCAGTCTGCAAGACCCTGAATCTACCAGTGACGTCGATAATCCTGCCGTCAGTACCTTCCTAAATGACAGCGAGGCGCTGCCTTTTGGGGGAAGGTATAATGCCGCAGCTCGCTCTTCCCGCTGCATCGTTCATGATTCATTGTCTTTGCCTAGTGAGCAAAGGTATCTGGTTCGAACCTCATTGATGTGGGTTTTTTTTGTGTGTATGTTCTCCTGGTCTGAGAACACATGGTAATTTGTTATTTACATATTTCTGCCATGTCTCTGTAGTATATAACAGCAAGCTCTCAGGTTGAGGGCAGTTCTTGTTCTCATACTGCAAGCACAGTAGTTGTACGTTCTCTGAGTGAATAAATACCCCTTTGTGTTCCTAATGACTGGTTGCCGTTTGTTTCGGCGACAATATCACAATAATTTTTGCTCATTCTATTTTAAAAACTATCGGGTGTTTCTGGCACACACTGTATATGTAATATACAGTGGAACCTGGTTAACTGGAAGCAGGATAGCTTGAAGTTGTGTTTACTCAAAATCATTTTTTTTTTGCTGATCATCTAGAATAGGGATTTAAGTATTAAATCAAACTGGTTAACTAGAATGGGGTTTTGACACAGTATTTTCATAAGCACTCTGGAATTTTAATTTTCTGTTAAATAAAATAATTAACATCCATTGATCAAATAAACTAATCAGGAACTTTCTATAAATGTACACAGGGACCATGTAGAACTAAAAATATACATTGTATCATGTGATAGCAGGTTCCATTGTACTGTTGTTCTTAAGTTTCTTTATTTAAAATTTATTTATTTATTTATATTATATTTATTATATTATTGTATTTTCCCAAAAATAAGCCCTAGCATGATTTTTCAGGATGCTTGTAAAAGCCCTACCCCTAAAATAAGCCCCAGTTAAGATCATCAGCCAGATGGTCATATTTAATATGTCCCTTGCAACACACGACAAACATATTGAATTATAAAATAATTAAATATAAATAAATATCATTATTGACATTAATGCTTAAAATAAATGATAATATAAATTATAATTTAGTATGTATATATATATATATATATATACATNATAGGCGGGGAGTCGCCTCTAAAAGCCGGCTATTCAGTTAAAACTGGTAATATATATATTTATATATATATATATATATATAGTATTATTATGTATTTTAAAAGCACATAACAGTGTATATGTGTACATAAATATATATATTTATTTATTTAAATATTTTCAACAACAGCATTTTTCTTACCCAATGTTAGTGTGATTTTGTAAATTTGCTTTTCTTCCTGATCTATGAAAGTTTTCTATTAATTCTTGACACCCTGTCAAATTACTGTAAGGCTCCCAAGTGTTAAATTCACTTTCCCATCCTTTCCATTTGATTAAATACCATTCTTTGTACTAAAATATATTTAATTTGTTATTAGGATCAATAATTATACAGTAGAAGTTTGTTAATCGGTATCCGATAATCCAGAATGTCTGATGATCTAATACTCTCTGAGCAGTGGCTAATAATTAGGAACTGTCCGATAATAATCTGGCATACTAGTAATTTGCAAATTGGAATTTGTTTGGACACATTAGGCTAACAATCCTAGGAGAATATTGAAGCATAGGGGGGTGCAACCATGAATGTTGCAAAATGTTCAGATGTTGCCTTTAGAATTAAAAGCATTGTAAATCAAGAAAAATGACTCATTTTGTTCCAGAATTTTGTTTGTGTTGCTGCTACAGCATGCATAAATGAATTGAAAGCATATTATATCATGCACTACTACAAAATGTAGTGTCCACAATGTTCAGATTGTGTATAACTTATCAAATTTTGCAAAAATACAAAAATGCATACTGGCATTTTCAATAATCCGGCACTATTCTGGTCCCATAGATGCTGGATTAACAAACTTCTGTTTATTTTTTTTAACAGTAAAATTTAAAACATTTTTAATTACCGTATTAGCCCGAATATAACGCAATATTTTTCGACCATTTATTTTCCGTTAAAAAATTGACTCGCGCTAAATTCGGGGTTTAAGTAATGGAATGTAATATAAACAAGGACATTTTCCTACAGAGGTTGCCTGTGTTATTAGCTATACAGTAGAGCGTGGTTTATCCGAAACGTCTGTTATCCGAAAGCATTCCAGTCGGCAAATTTCAATTTTCACTAGTGCTGTGGCGCTGCAATCTTCAGCTATTTCTTGGGTTACTCAAATATTTTACGTTTTTGATACTAAATTAACATCTGAAGTATAATTTTTTATTGTTTTTATATTTTTCAATATATTTATTTTGTTTGTACAAAATAAAAAAATAATTTTTAACGATACAATAGTCTTCGTTAGGCTTAACATCGACGAAAATTCAACGCGAAGCGACACGCAACGGAGAAAAATTTCAACATGGGATAAATTAATATATTTTTTCGTACATGATTCGTTATCCGAAAAATAAGTTATGCGAACCACCCCAATCCCCAATTGATTCGGATAAACGACGCTCTACCGTAATTACATAAATAAATGCTTATCTGATTGAACTTTACTTTCTTTGAATTCTTTTATGAGTATTATTTTTTTTTTCTAAATATCTTTATGAAAATTTTGGAGTCGCGTTAAATTCGGGGTCGCGTTATATTCGGGCTAATACGGTATTATATTTATTGAATAATATAAAATATAACTTTGATAATTTGGATGGAGCATATTGTTCATTAACTGATTTTAATTCTGCATATTTCTGCATTAAAATTAATACAGAAAAAACAGTGATTAAGTGTTATGCTTTGATACATAATCCTCCATTACTGTTTTTTTACATAGATTCTTATCCAATTAATTATGTAAGTTCTATTAGCAATTTAGGCATAGTTTTTGACACCAAACTTACTTTCAAAGATCATATTGATAAACTAGTTAAATCCCTGGCTATCTGACATGGAATTTTATGATGATAAAAGAGCATTGAAAACCATTTTTTATGCTAATCTTCAACCTTGCACTGATTATGAATTACCCATCTGGTCAATGGCTGTGCCTTCCCTTTTACACAAAATTACTTCTGCTATTAGTAAGATATATCTTACATTTAACAAAATGTGTAATTTGCCTTTCACCGATGACTCTAATATAGTTAGAATTTGTCTGGACTTCTCATTTTTATTTGAGAGAATTAAATATTTTCATTTGTTGATTTATTACAATATTCTAATGGTCTTATTTATCAAGATTGGCTTTCACTCCAAATTCCATTGAGAAAACTTTGCTCATTTACTTAGGTTTTTACTCCTTTTTATAAATAAGCAATTACTTATAAACCAGCTATTAATTCTTTTTTAAACAAATGTTTTCATTTGTTTTTAACGGTCATCATCAGGTTTCAATGTATTGGAATGTTTGTAAAAGAACATAAATTCCAAAATTTAAAAGGGTGCACATCGTGAAGATACACACATGCTCAATATTGTGTTTAAAAAGTCAGTCTTCCAACTGGCTTCCAATTTTAAAAATATGAAGTTTATATAAAATATAAGAACAAACTTGACAAAGATCTATTTTACATCAAAGAATGCCCCTCCATGCAGCTGCTAATGAGTTAATTTCTTTAAATTTAATTGCTGTTCTCCTCTTAAACATTTAAATATCTCCAGTTGTTCGAGATATTTCAGGTTGGTTGGGTCTTCACACCGCTGCAGTAATTAGGCATTGTCAAAGTCAACCCAGACATCATTATCAATGGTAAAAGAAGCCAATGCGGTAGTGGAGAGACCTTTCTGAATGGTGTATTTATGCTCCTTGATCTTCATTTTAGACCATGTGCGATAGCACCAATATATTCACTAGAACAGTTCACCCTATGATTGTAAATAGGGATAGTATAGACCCTGAGATACTATTTTGGTCCAATTGGTCATTATCGTTTCTAATACAAGAGAAAACGATCAGAGATCTCCTGTAAGCAATCCTGTTGCTCATAAAGCAGACAAGTTTGGTTTTTTTCTTTCAAATAATCAACACATCATCCACATATCTTGCGTACAACATAATGTTATCACTAACATCAAATAAGACATACTGCTCCAGGCACCTGACCACCAATTCACAAGCATTCCTGAGATGGAACTACCCATGGATACACATCTAACTTGGAGGAAAGTATCCCCTTCAAATACAAAACTGGAAGCCAGTTGGATGACTAATTTTTTAAATGCAACATTGAGCATGCACATATCTTCATGACCTGCAACCTTTAAATTTTGGAATTTAAGCTTTTTTACAAACATTACAATACATCAAAACCTGGCAATGATACATCATCGCCAGGTTTTGATGTATTGTAATGTTTGTAAAAGAACAGATGAAAATGTTTGTTTAAAAAAGAATTAATTGCTGATTTATAAGTAATTGCTTATATACTCTTTTTTATCATCTAAATCTATCCCAACAATCCTTCTTTTACCATATATCACAAAATTTTAATAATTTTGATGAATTTTTACATCTTGATCTCCCTGATTTTAAACTGAAATGTAAAAAAGCAGTATATATCTTTTAAAGATTTGTTACTAGTTTTGATTTTTTTGCTTTTTTTTTAAATTTGTTTGTTTTTGTTTTATGGGATATTATTTGTTTTTATGATATGTTATTGTAGGGAAATGGAAATCAAATGTCTGTCAAGACTTTTCCTGAAAATGTAATGAAATAAATAAATATAATGGATTTACTTGCAATTGAATTTTCTGTACAAAAACCCAATACATTATATTACTAAAGCCAATCACTGCTGTATGCCATCGGGCTGTATAACAGCTATAATACTAATAAATTACCAAACAATTTGACACGAGGCGTTAGGTACCGTCTCGTAATAAATTTAATAATTGTACACTGCTAATTTATGAAATATATTAAATAAATAATAGTATATATGGGAAAATTGTGAAATGTCTCTTATAAAGTAAAAATATNTATAGCCGCTATAAAGCCCGATGGCATATGTCAGTGGTTGTCTTTAGTAATTGAATTTTCTAATTTATTATAATATAAATAAATAAATAACTTTTATGAGAACAACTCTCTCATTAAAAAAAAAAAACAATTCTTAAAAATGAATAATTAAATTTATTGAAATATTTTTTTTTATTATTTTAAATAATTTCAAATAAAGATATAGAGTCTATATATGAAAATAATATATTTGAAGTGTAATATGAACAAAATTATTTAAAGAATAAAATATTTATAGCATACTTTATCTCTGACATAATCGACAATTTCTTCAACTTCATACTCATCTGAAAATTTTTGAGATATTTTATAAAATTGTAATAACAACATATTTTTCTTTAATATTGTTTTAAAAAAATGGAATAAAAAAGTTACCTGGATGTTGTGGTTTTATCCTCTTGTGTCTATGATATAAATGATTTGGTTTTACAAATTTTAGATTCATTTGCTGACATATTTTATTCAATGTTTCTATATCTTGAAGACAATTTATTTGACAGTCTTGAAACTTAATGGTTAAATCTGACTTAGGTTCATCTAGAAAATTAAAATTCATTATATAAATAGATACCGAATCACTGAATTTGTTAGATCAAACCAGAAAGCTGTGAACAGGAAAGTTTAATAATGATCATCTGATACATTTTGCAAAACAGAAATACACTGCTAATTCATGAACTATATTAAATAAATAATAGTATGTATGGGAAAATTGTGAAATGTCTCTTATAAAGTAAAAATATATAAAAAATATAGAAAAAAAATTGATTTTACAATCTAAATCTAACTTTTCTATGGAACAATCTTTAAAAAATATACATTTTATTAAAACTTTTTCTAAAGATACAAGCCAATTCTTTCACATTCTTTTGATCATCTATCTTCAGGAATAAAATTCTTTAAAATATACAAAAAATAAACTTCTAGCATTTAAAAATAATTTAAGAAACCAAATTCAAAAACACTAAAGTTACATAAAGACTAGACAACTTCAATAAGCTATTAATTCACACAAGACATTTTGAATTCTGTCCTTTGGAATTTTTTAAAAACATGTTTGAAATGTTTTAAAAAATACAGTAGAGTGTCGATTATCCAAATCAATTGAGGACCGGGGTTGTTCAGAAAATCGATATTTCAGATAACCAATTATGTATGAAAAAATATATTAATTTATCCCATGTTAAAATTTTTCTCCGTTGCGTGTCGCTTCGCATTGAATTTTCGTCGATGTTAAGCCTAACGAAGACTATTGTATTGTTAAAAATTATTTTTTTATTTTGTACAAACAAAATAAATATATTGAAAAATATAAAACAATATAAAATTATACTTCAGAAGTTAATTTAGTATCAAAAATGTAAAATATTTGAGTAGCCCAAGACATAGCCAAAGATTGCAGTGCCACAGCACTGGCAAAAATTGAAATTTGCCGACTGGAATTCTTTCGGATAATTGACGTTTCGGATAATCGACGCTCTACTGTACTTGAATACTTTTTTAAAAGGATTTTATTCTTGAGAAAAAAACCTTGAAAGTGATTGGACTTAAGTTTTTCCATAAAAGAAGCTTCAATAATGCATTTTTATCTTGTTTAGTGGCAAGATTTGATTTATAGTTAGTTTCATTTAAATCTAAAACCTATTTCCTACAATATATTTACAATAAAAGGTTATAAAATTAAACAGTTTACTTGATAAATTATATCATTACTAAACAAAAATTATATATAATAATATATTTTATATAATACAAAAGACATTTCTTAATCAAAATATAAAAATATATGAAATATATAAGTACAATAATTATTCATTAATATATTTACCTACTGATATTACATCTAGATTTTTTCCATTACATTCACCACTATTTACCATCATTTCATTATTATGATCTGTAATAAAAAGCATTCAAATCATTTCCTTGCAAATGAAATTAAATAATTTCTGCCAATTTATTTAGTATTTTATATTTTTAGTTTTTCATCATGTCCATTAATTATATAGCAGCGAAATATGAATGTCACATAGATAGAATTATAGACAAATAGCTAGACAGATGGGCACATGCATAGTTTACATATGGAACCCAAACATCTACACAATGCTTGGGTTCAAAAAATCTTTCACAACATTTAAAACTGCATGTGTTGCACCCTCTATTATAATGTTTTATTAAAAAACTTTCATATTTTTAATTATTATAAAAAGGCAAAAAGCTTAATTTTGAAGGTAGGGATGGGTTTTATAAAAAATTGTATATGGTAATAACAAGTAAAATCATCATTACATCTGACACTACTCAAGATATGACATGCAATCCCCCTTTATTTCCCCACTCTGTCAACCTTTAACTACCAAAATTTAATAGCATTAATCCCCCAATACACAAACCTTCCTGCATATTTTCAGAAATTTTTGACAAATAACATGAAAGTTATTAAACTTCTGAGAAGATGAACAAAATCATGCCTCGCACATATACACAAACTAACATCCATATAAAAAGAAAAAACCCCTGAAGTTTTTTGCATTTCTCGACATTTCAAGGTGCCGAGTCCAAAAATATGAAAATCGTAGGGGGGTCATTTTTCTGACATCTTTGTTATGTATAACAGAGCTGGGAAAGTAATATGAAAAATATAAATACAATAGAGCCTCTATAGTCTGTCACTCACCACTCTGCAGAGTGATGCATGTGAAATTTTCATATTATCAGTTGTCAATGTATGTGATAGAAAGACGGATGTACAGTATATGTACATTGTCAGTTCTAGTTGTTTGTTACCCACGTAATTGACAAAACAGTCACAATTATGAGTAATACAATAAACTAACCAATGAAACAAGTGTACAGTACTTTTTGTTTACTGTACAATACATATAAAATCCAGTAATACAACAATCAGTTATAATCGAATATCTGCTGGTCTGATATATATCAGATTATAGAGACTTCTGTGTATACAAAAATTAAAAATGCTTATGTGTTTACAATTAAATTAACTTTGGCAATATTTTTTGAAGAAATGTCAAAAAATTCAAAATGCTATATATGTACGCAGAATGTTTTTCTACTAACCAACACAACAAAACTCCAACAAAATACTTTATTTTCTGCTTACAACTTTTGCTAAACTACAACTTCATCACAACATTCTCTGACTTTGCGCCCAAACTTGACATCTCCCTCCAACTTCGTCCCTGCACTCTGCACACTTATCTCACCTTTGATTCCAAACTTAATGTCTCCTCTTCTCGAGTATCCCCAGCCATCCGTTTGGGCTATCTTTCCAAATCATATTTATATATATAATTTTATTTAAGAAATTAAGATTTAAATGACTTACTGTAATTATACTGCAGTTAATAATAATAAAAAAAAAATACTTCTTTTTGTTCTAAAAAGTCAGCATAAAATTCTGTTGTTGCAGCAAATAATTAAATATGTTAAATGAGCATATACAGTACATAATAGTACTTAAATATTTGTTTAACTTTGCTCATTTGATAATATGAATCAAATATTCATATTGTTATTATGTAGCTAAATTGAACAGAAAATTCTTTAAGTAAATTGTTCAACAAATTCAAAATATAAATTTTAAATTACTTCAAAAGAGATGCATTTTTTCAACACCTAACTGAAAATTACAATGTATTATATTAATACAAGAGGGAATTAAACTGATACATAGATTGTGTTATCTGATAAAAATAACAAAAAAACATTAAGCAAATTTTTATACCACTATTTTTTTTACAAATGTTTTTGTGTCAACGAAGTCAATTTCCTGTTTTTAATGTTGTTGGAATATAAATGATAAACTGGAAGGAAGATTGTTTACATTTCAGTGACTAGAATGCCAGAAACATTTATTTTTATTAAAAAATTTCTTATTGTAGTCATATTGCCATAAGTGTAATTTTATTATTAAAAAATTACAAAAAATATACAGTAATTAAAACTAATTTTTCATTATTGTAACAATTAAAATTGGTGTTTTCAAAATAAAAATGCTGTTTATTATCTACATTGAATGCAACCAAGCATGACACAGTTCACAGAATACAGTTTTTTTTCTTCCAAATCCAGTCTTTCATTGAATATAATCGTGTTATACAATTACCCAAATCTTGTAATATTCATTTTTTTACTATAATTATTTTCATCTTTTCCTTTGTTAAATGTAATGTTCTTTAAATAAATATTGCTTGAATTTTTCAGTGTTAAGCAATTGAATAATTAAATTACTGTTTACTTATCTATTATTTATTTTTTTCATCTACATTTATTTCATTTGAATCCTATTCTAAACAATAGACATTTACGAGATTTTATATCCAGAGATTATTATGTAACATACTGTAATAATAGGCAGATAAAAAAAAACTAACTTCAGATCATATAATAAAGCCTTCTAAAAGATAAATCATCATATACCAGTATTTATAGTAAGAACTTAAATGTTCACAAAATTCTTTATTACATTAACTTTTCTATATACAGTAGTATTCGCTTGTAACGAAGTCTTGGCTATAATGAACCAATTTTAAAAATACGAATAAAACACCCATAAGAGCAATGTTATTTTTTTCAGCTACAACAAACCCATATATAACAAATTTCTGTATATAACTAACAATATTTGAATTTGAAAAAAGGAAAGTTATCGCTTATAACAGATTATGAGTACAAAGAATACTCTCGAGTTACTACTACTACTTTTGGTGCCCTATTGACATTTCACACCAGTCCCTCTTGTTTTTCAGATATGAGATTCAACATTATCCTGGCCAAAAATTTTCCTTTGTATAATGAGTTGTAGGATTCGGTACTTGACACCATTTCTCATCATGTGGTCAAAGTACAGTGGAACCTCGCTTAAACTTTGGTTAAATCTTCACATGGGATTTTCTTAAAACTAGTAATTTTGAGTTGTGCCAGTTTTCTTCCAAAGTAGCAATATGTAATATGTCTGAACATAAGTTTGGAAAAATGTGTGATTACAAGCAACAATTACAAGTTAGAACAAGCACAACAAGTCTCAACTTGCTACCGCTATTAGATTGCTGTGAGTGCCTGCTGCAAGTGGACGTGTTTAAATTACAAAGTAGCCATACAGTAGAGCATCGATTATCCGAATGCTGATCAACCGAAACATTGGTTAACCCAGGGCTGCGGAGTCGGTAAAAAAACACCCGACTCCGACTCCGGATAATTTTAGTACGCCGACTCCGACTCCAGCAAAATTAAATACAAAGTCATTATATGGGAGCAGAAACGCTCATAGGGAGGTCCCTTCTTTAAACTGTGAAAGGAGCCCCGGGTATTTACCCAAATACTTTTATAGTTAGCATTTTTAATATTTAACTTACATTAATATTTATTTGTATAAAAAATTATTTCTAACAAATATTTAATAAGAGGAGAAAGGGAGCAATAAAATTCTACATTTACNTATATTTATTTTGTTTGTACAAAATAAAGAAATAATTTTTAACAATACAATAGCCACGATTATTATTATAAAAATTTTTGTTGGGCTTAACATCAACAAAAATTCAACGTGAAACAACACACAATGGAGAAAAATTTAAACATGGGATATATTAATATGCTATTATTGGGATATACTAATATACTGTATTAATAATGTATTTTTTTGTACATAATCAGTTATCCAAAAAATCAATTTTCCAAACAACCCCAGTCCCCAATTGATTCGGATAATCAATGCTCTACTGTATTTTTAATAAATGGAATTCCTTTGTGGCAGTACGCCATAATTTTGTATATACGCGCTAGTTGTAAGCCAAATATTAATTATTTGATCTTGTGTTCTTTGTTTCCCTATTTCTCGATCTTTCCATTCTTCACTTCCTTATCAGTGGGGGCAACACTGTTCCGAGAACGAGGTGAGAAGAATATAAAGAGAGCACCGAGAGGCATGTGGGGTGAGGAGAGAACGATCATTCTTGACTCGGACTCAAGAGCGAGCAGACAGTGTGTGAGGAGTTCAAGATTGTCATTACGAAGAACAGAAAGACGACGAATTGTCTATCCAATCAAGAGAAGAACTAAGTATACTCTGATCGAGAATTATTTATATCGGCGGACTAGAACACAGTTAAACTGGAAGACATCAGAGCAATACAATATCCTGGATACCTCTACTCTATCTTTTCTATATATCTAAATATCTGTATTATTCTATCCTCATTCCATTATTTTCTCCTAGTTTTTAAGTAAGTTTATAGTCTTAGTCATAGAATTTCGAGTAATACTTCATTGTACTCCATTGTCGCAAACTCATCTCCGTTGCATGACACCATGTGCATAAAGCCTTTGTTCCCTTATTGTATGTGTGTGAGGTCCAGAGTTGGGATCCACACAAATAGGTGAGAGCCTGTGTTTTTATTGATCTTTTTGTCATAAATAAACTTGGTTTTGCCTATGTATTTGCATGTTTTGTCCTTTTGGGGATCCATGCACATTTGCATGTCTTAACACCTTAACATATAAATCTGTATATCCCTGGCCAGGACAAAAGTAGAAACTAATGAGATTTCGAACTATCCAAGTTTGAATTAACAAGGATTTCCTGTGTAAGTAATGTTTAGATAGGATGACCATATTATTTATCATCATCATCATCATCAAAACTAGAACATTTTTGGAAATAAGAGTACAGTAGAGCGTCGATTATCCGAAAGTCAATCATCTGAAACGTCAATCATCCGAAAGAATTCCAGTCGGCAAATTTAAATTTTCGCCAGTGCTGTGGCGCTGCAATCTTTGGCTATGTCTTGGGCTACTCAAATATTTTACGTTTTTGATACTAAATTAACTTCTGAAGTATAATTTTTTATTGTTTTTATATTTTTCAATATA